AATAACTTTAAATTTATTTTTAAGGTAATATTGATTTTGAAAAATAAATTCTACTTAAATTTTTTCTTTTTCAAGATCACTCGTTCTACCATCGCTCTCAAACATACCTATGGAGTAATGATTATCCTAACAAGTACAAGTTTTAATATCAATGTAGTGTGTACCAACTACCAAATAATCTACTATGAGATGAATCAAAATTTGACATAATTCCGCAAGACAACTTATCAATAATTCAGATGTAGTAAGAGAATTTGTCCTTATACATTTATTTTTGAAGTTGGTTTGTATAGTCCAAAATTGTGGTTCAAACTTGTATACTTGTACATAATTTAATGATAGGAATTAAAGGTGTATGGAATATACTTTGTATAATTTTATGATATTAAGTAATTTTTCATTGGTTTTATAAGTTATATTCTGAAACATCAGGCCTGAGATTTGTCACAGCTCTAAATATTAATCTTATTTATATTTTATAAATAATAAACTTACCAAAAATGGTAACAGTAATGATAATGTTTACAGTAAGCCCTTTATGAACCTCTTCCAAATATGGGCTTTATTTTGGGCCTTAAAATATGGTGCAGCTTGACAAGACCGACGCTTACAGCCCATGCACGAGGGGAAAAAGACCCAGCAAAATTTTCTTTTTTATTTTATTTTATTTTTTGTATAGTATAAAAAACCGAGCAATTAACCATTGAAAAAAAAAATCAATATTAAAGGAATACTCCATCTATAAATCAAAGATTAATTTAATATTCAAAATTTCATTTACCAATATCTTAATTTTATTTTAAGTTTTAAATATTTTGGTCTCCTTAAAATAATGATTTAGCTATTAAATTTTAGTTTGTGATGGTTTAGTTCTTTATAGTTTTAAATTGGTAACAACTAATTCTTATAGTTTAAAATTTTCGACGATTTAGTTCATATCATGAATATATGTAAGTATGAAGGACCAAGACTAACCTAAACATACCTCAAGTAGTAAAAGTATTTATCTTCAACCTGAATATGGTGAGTTTAAATCTTAACTCCTATGTATTATAATACTAAAAAATGAAATATTTACAGTATAAATTAAATGATTACATACTAACAACGTTATCAAATACTAAAACGAGTATAGTTCAACGATAATTGACATATTGTGAGTTCGATCCCCAATTTCACAAATTGTAATAAAAAATTAAAAAAAAACAACGTCATCAAATGACCCACTCGTACGTTTGATCACTCGTGCAATTAAAGGTCTATTAATTTATAGAGGAAAATGACACCACCATACAATTCCTCGGTAATACAATCAAGGGACCCATCTCCCAATTTATTTATTTATAATTTATAATTCTCTCTTTCAGTTTGTTTTAGCTCTGTTGATAAGATGTAGATTTTATTGATGGAACATGTTAGTTTTACGTGTGATATAGTATCTGAGTAGTATATTGATATGTTAAAATATATTAATATAACAATTAATGATATGTGTATTTTTTGTTGTCAACAAATTTTAACAAAATTCCCATGAAAGTATGTAATTGAATAAATTTTAATATATTAAGATGGGAAGATCAGATTGGAAAAACTATATATAAAAAAATTATAGACTATTTTTTACGTATTGAAATTAGTCAGCTTCTTTACATTAACTAGTTATTAATTGGTTAATCTACAGTTTTAGAGTTTGGCAGCTCTTAGCCAGTTTAATTTGTTACACTGCATATAAATAGGTGTATAATTTTGAAGTTAAAATTTAACTCCCGCTATAATTTATTCTCTTATGCATTTAGTCATATAATAGTGTTGCAAGAAAAAGCACTATGTCATTCTATGCCATGTATCTAATTTAGTATAATTCTCCATCAAAAATTTAAATGTGGATATTGATTTTATGAAGAAAGTTATAAAAATAAAAAAGAATTTGTAAACCATGTATAAATTAACAAATAAACATTTCACAATTTTTAGATAAATTTAAAATAACTCATATTTATTTTGTTTATATTATTGATATTTTTTATAATATTTTAGAAATATCATTTATCTATTTTATCGATGTCGAATTTATTGGTACATAAAAATGTCGAGGTCCAATAAGTTGATGGATAGTTAATATCATAAGTATATAATTTTCTTTTAGTACAATGCCATACCTATATAATGATGATGAAAAGAAAAGCACTTATATTTTTATACCATCGTACAGGGACCACTTCCAATACTGCTGGAGTATTCTAATTTTCTAAAAGAAATGGAAAGAAAAAAAAAAAAAGAATCAACGGGTAAAACGTGGTTACATTAAACAACGGTAGCGGGACGTGGTCCGTGCATCTTGTGCCACGTGAAACTCGTGTTCTAACGAAAATTATTTATTTATTTATTTTCTTTTTCTTTTTCTTTTTTGGACACTAAACAAAAATTGCTTTTTTCGTACGTTGAAAAAAGAGGCGGCAATTCAAAATTTATGAATTTACGTTTAATCCAATTTGGATTCCGTCCTCCGTGGCATCGTTCAGGTCCGACAACTCTTTAGCCTTTTATCGTCTCTCTCCTATTTTTTTATTTATAACTGCCTTACTTGAATTTCGCTACATTTTCACAAGTACATTTTTATATAGTTTTCAGTTCTTTTACCAATTTGAATCTTTTAATAAAATAAAAAAAATGTATTTAATAAATTGGCTTTTAAATTTTCGAATATTTTCTTTATTTCACATAAACTACAAAATTGGATTTTTTTTTTGATTAAATTTGATTTATGAAAGAGGAATTTTTATTTCGTGTCATAAAATGAATAGGTATTTTTTCAACTTTTAATTTTTTTTAATTAACTGTTATTTACATGCCTTACATCACATTTAAGTTTGACATTTTTTTTCTTGTTTTGTAAAATTTTAATCTTTGTAATGTATTTGAAACTACAAATTTATTGTATGCTATTTATATAATTGCCTCAACCCAGGCAAGAAAATATTATTGATGTAGGATGTCTTGCCACCTGGGATTGTAACTCACAAACAGAAACTTACCAGTGCGGTACTCAACTATGTATACTCTAAATCTCAAGTTAGTATTTAATTCGAGTTGGCATCGAATTTTTTTTAGTACAACAAGTGGGGTGGAATCGAACTCGACCTCTTGATCAAAGACAAGTATCAATTATCGCTGAGCTAAACTTGTATTGGTATCGAATTGAATTTTGATTAGATATTTAAAAATTGCATAACTTTGTAAAGTGTAGACTCTGTCTTTTATAGGGAAAATTTTAAAAAGCGTGACTCTGCCATTTTGATACTCTGAAATTGGCATTTGGTAGATTTTTTGCCTTTTATCAAAATATCTTCGACTAGCAATTTCTGCTTCTATAGGTTAGTTATGAGTTGGACTTCCTCCCTGTATTTAGAGATAATTTTACCTGTCGCTCTTCATACTGATCAATGTGTTCGAATTGAAACTTTGACATATTTTTCTCAACGAGCGAGTCTCATGACGTGTTCTAATGTCACTCTTAACAAATATATTTGGGAAAATAAAATATATACACTCATAAAGAATAGTTCGCTCAAGGTGAAAATAGACTTTCAAATAATTAGAGTCAAATCACACTTAAAAAAATGGTAGTTGAAGATAATTAAATGCAACTAACCAGCCATGTTTAGATGTGTAACAACATTAATTATCCTTAAGAAAAAAAATTATTATTTTTAGAAATAAATGAACATTTAGTATAGCCTTAATTAGGCACCTAGTAAGCTATATTATTTAAGCATAATTTTAGAAATAAATTACAGTGAAAATTCAAGATTACTTTGTATTTATATAAATATGACAAACATAAAAACAAATACATAAATTGCAAATGATTTATCTAGCTGGTTCTAATTATTTTTCGTATTTATATTAGTTCAATTACTAGTTTGATATTTGAAGATGGTGTTTTAGTAAGTCCTTAATTTAATACAAATTTTAAATTATAAGTTTAGCTTTAAATTTTGTTGGAATTTGTTATATATATTATGAAGTTTAATATCATGTAGACACAATTTTAACCTTTTAAGTAAGAAAAAAGGACTAATTGAAACATATATTGATAAATAAATAAAGCTAGAAAAACATACCATTTTTACATTTTATAATACAATGGAACAATATTTTATTTCGATTACAAACATATAATACTTTGCTTTAAAAAAAACGAAGATAATATAATGCTGCATGTATAACATTATACAAAAATCAGAATATGAGATTGTTTGAGAAATTATTTTCAATGTTTGTCGTTAGAATTATCATTGCATGCATCAAATTTTTTTTTATAAATATTATAATTCGAAGAATGGAATGAAAAGTCGAACTTATTATTTATCATGATCCGTTTAGTTAGATTACTCATTTAAATTATCATTTATTAATTCGTAATTGTATTAAAATAGTAATTAATAAAACAAGTAATTTGTGAAAATCCAATTAAGTACAAAGGGAACATCCTCAAAAAATAGAAAAGTACAAGAAGAAAATTATTATTTTAAAAATACACTTTAATTTCTTTTACACTTATTTATTATTATTTATTTTTTATTCTAGAACATGAACAACCTTTTCAGAAATATTTCCGCAAAATGGCAGCAGGCTCAACCAGTAACGGCATTACATTTTTTATTAAAATATTTGTATGCTTTTAAAAAGTAACATACTTAGTTATTTTTGGCAAAAAAAAAAAGACATACTTAATTATTCACAACACCTATTTCTGTATTCACCATCAATAAAAAATGGACGAAAGTTAATTTTTTGAAAAGTAAAAAAAAAATGTTTCCGCATTATCTTCGATTAAGTGCTGACGAATTAATACTAAATAATTTTTTTTTTCAAAAATTGAATGGTTGTAAATTTTAAATAGTGGTGTATTGGCACAGTAAATGATCGGTGGTTAATGAAGAGTTTCTAAAATTTAATGACTTAATAACTAAGTATTTTTTTCGTTATAAAAACCAACGCATCATCTTTAGCGAGTAGTAGTACTGCCATCGGAAAATGGAGAGGGCTCCGTCGCCTCTGCTGCTGCTGCTGCTGCTGCTATCTTCCCTCGCCGTCGTCCGCTCCGCCGCCGTTGTGTCGGCTCCGATCAAGACGCCTTCCGTCGCTCCCAAATCCCTTCCTATCAACTACATCCAGGTCTGTGTTTCAACTCTCTTTGTTCTCAACCGTCGATTTTGTAATTTTCTTTCGACTTTTTGGTATTTTACTTTTTTTTCTTCCCCTTTCGTGTCGCGAAGGAAGTCGGAAGCTGCGCCTACGAAGTTACCATAGCTACAAGCTGTTCTTCAGCTCCATTTACCACCGGCGAAATTGGTGTTCTGTTTGGAGATTCTCATGGAAATCAGGTTTTCCTTCTCTTCTGGCTCTTTCCTTTTTTCATATATGAAATTCCTGCTTGTTTACGGATCACTTTTAATCGAGACTGTGAAATAGTAGGGTTTTAAACTAGTAATCGTATGGTTTTTACTTTTTAACCTCTTTCTGAGAATAATTTTCCCCGAATCCAAACGAGACTGTAGGGTTTGTTTCTAATTTTATAAACGATGGTTCTCACCAGTTTTTGTTTTCCCAATCAATCTCTAAATAGAGATAAACTATTATTTTCCTTTGATGTTTGTTTTGTGCTATTTTGATCTGATGAAATGATTTTACACATCGGAAATAGATCATCGAGAAAAAGTTGAATAACGGAGACAAGGTGTTTGATAGTTGTAGCACAGATAGCTTTGTTCTAAAGGATCGACCCTGCAGTGTTGGAATCAGTTATATGTATATCTACAAAGATGGGGCTGAAAATTGGGTTCCAAAATCTGTTGAAATCTCTGGCTCTGAAACCGAGCCCCTGCTGTTCAACTTCAATTCCTCCATCCCAAACAACACTTGGTTTGGCTTTGATGTGCCTCCATATACTTTCCCGCCGCCGTCCGACGACTCGCCCCCACCTTTTCCCTGGTTGTCTCCTCCGCCACCGCCGCCTGAGCCACCAGTGGAGCCTGTGTTTCCCCCACCGCTTCCTCCATCGTCCTCCAGCAAACTATCAGGTCAGAAATGGGGTATCATAGCCGGGATTCTGGGATTGCTGATTGTTGCTCTTCCGTGATTCTGCTGCAGCAATTTGCTCTATGTAATGGTTTGGTCTGTAGTTCTTCGTTTATAGTATGGTTTTAGTACGTAGTTTTGTAGTGGTGGGTCACCGGTGATACTATATTTATGTTTCATCCCCTCTCCACCATGTTTAAGTTATCTGTGTGTGGTTTCATAATTCAGAACGATGCTGAAACTTCATCTTATTCAGCTGAATGGGATGTATGCTTTCAATTTAGACTCGTAACTTTAATGGCTTATATTTACTCTGCAACTATATAGATGGTGTTTTTATTTATTCTTTTCCATTATTTATTTTGGGTGGTGGTTGTTGAAATCCAACAACCGAGACAACGGCTAAAACTTTTATGTGAAAATTACACAAGGGAATTTATGAATAAATGGACTAACAATCTGATAAAATAAAGAAACGCCGAGAAATATGAAAAATTATTGAATGAGGTCACGGAGCCCGGCGCAAGCTTCACACCCACACCCAAGGAAAATGAGGAAAGTACTTGACTTTCACCCAACAATTTTGTCAAAAACTACCCTTAAATATTTGATAATTGATAACTAAGAGATAAATGAAAAATATAAAGGTTTTTTAAAAATGATAGTTGTTAAATATTTAATGATGGTAAGAATAAGGTTGTTTTTTACTATTTTCTAGAAAAAAAACGATTTTATAAAGAAAAATTTTCAGTATTAACTTCTGATAAAATGAAAATAAATAATTTTATAAAAAAATTTAAATAATAAACTTGGGACAAAATTAGTAATTTTATCCAACGTTTTTTCTTTAATTACCAAAACTATCTTTTCTTTTTCAAAATTATCAAAATAACCTTTCAAAAAATAAGTTTTTATGTTACTTTAATCGTCCGTTTACCTTTCCATGGAACCAACCTCCGTTAAAAAAGATAAATGAATTATTTTATAAAAAAAAATAGTGATGTTTATGTTATCTGTTTTCAGTCTTAATATCAAATTTATGTAACTTGAAATATGAACATGTGAATAGATAAAGATAAAATAGAATTTAATATTTTGAAAAAAATAGATGATATATTATTCTCGTCTAGATTAATCTAAATATACTAAAATTTTAAATGGTTTGAAAAAGAGAAATGATTCGAGTTGTCGAAATGAATTAAAATAATTTGGACTTCGGCTTTCCTAAAATTGTCGAATTGGGGTGTATTTTTCAACAATATTTTAACCATTTTTTTTTTTTGGTTAAACATCGAATAAATTAAAGATAAGTCAACCTGAATTTGCTGAATTGATTAACCTCCACGTGTTGTAGTAAAAGATAATTTCAATTTTAGTCCATAAATAACAAGTGGGTGAAAAATGTAGAAACGTCTCTACTGAAGAAAACGACACCGTCCATCCATGTATCGACTCGAGAGGATAAAAATATCAAGTGATATTTCCGTAATTTCCAGATAAAAACAAGAAGGCAATTTCGTACAAATTCGAAAAATACAGAAAATTTTTGCGTAAATTTGAAATTTTTATCGAAACGACGGCGTAGTGCTATTCTCAAAGAGAAAACTACCTACACAATCACCATTGTCCTCGAACAAGATAGACAACAAGATTTGCAATTTTAAATCATCATTGTATTTCCTCACAAATTTAAATAAAGATCATGTGAAACTCTCCTAAAATTCACAAAAAGAAAAAAAATAACTACTTTTATCCAAAGAAAAATAAAGAAGATTTAAATGAGTCCACGTGCAAAATTAAACTAAAAAAAATTCATACACAAAATCAACTATGGAACTAAATTCGCATATTTAATAAAAGTTAAATTTCTTTCGATAATCATTTGGTTTTAGATAAATTTCAAAAAAAAAAAGGAAAAATTAGTTTTCAAAAAGAGTTTTTTAAAATCTGATTTTTTCTTTTCAAACTCAACATTTTTTTCTTTCTCATATTTATTTCTAAAAAAATTATTTTTTCCTATAATTTTTTTTTATTTCTAAATTTCTCTTTCTCTCTCTAAAATTTTCATATTTTGAATATTTATTGTTACTTGTCTCTCTCCAAATTTTTATATATTTTTGTTTTTTTTCTAACAGGTCAATTTCATTTATCTCTCTAAAAATTTAATATTTTTCTTAATTTTTTCCTCTCTACAATTTCCTCTTTTATAATTTTTCTTTCTCTTCGTAATCTCTTTGAAAATTATATTTTATTTTATCATTCAATTTTCTTTCACTCGAACTTTTATTTATCTTTGTATTTATTTATTTTCTCTAAAAGTTATATTTTGAATCTTGTTTTTATCTCTAAATTAGTTTAGAGAGACGTAAATAAATTTGTATTTTTATGTCTCTATAAGAAAATTTCTGCAGAATTGGGTCCCAAAAATAGGAAATGTATGTCCCGACCCTGTCCCCGATTCCATTTTTTAAATAATTAAAATATATTTATTACACATTTTTATACTTAAATTATAAAAATAATTATAAATAATTATAAAACCAATAATTTTTCTCGAGAACATCTCTCGGACTCAAGAACGAGGTGGAGACGGAGACTACAAATTTTCACGAGCATCAGAATGGGGGAGAGAATCCTCACTCGCATTCACACCATTGTCATCTTTACTCTACATTAAATTTTCTCTATTTTCAATTTTCTAACTTTTTAAAAACAAAAAACTAAAAATAGTTACCAAAATGTGTTTTGGTTTTTAAAAACAAAAAACAAAAAAGGGTTATCTTTTTGTTTTTCAAAAATAGAAAACCAAAAACCAAAAACTAAAAAAAGAAAAACAAAAAACAAAAATGGTTATCCAATGAGTCTTAAATTTTAATGCCTCATTCATCTCGAGCCTTATCAAATTCGTATAAAATTTACATTATATAATATACTTTTTCTAATAGCTTAAAACTTTAGACATTTCTAGTCTCGGTACTTTAAAAACATATTATTTTGGTGTCTATATTTTTAACTTTTGTTTATTTTAATCTGGTAAAATAAAATAGCTTTTTTTTTTACTATTAAAATTAGAAAATAGTCAGAAATAAATTTGCGCATTTATATCTGTTGTAATAGGACACTGCCACTAGTTGGTCGAAACGACGTGGTTTTCTCGTAGNACCCAGTACTCAATGAAGCTCTCTGAAGTCCGTTTCAGTGGTGCGAAAGAAAGCTCTGTAAAAATGGCGACGCTTCTTCCTTTCCTCGTCTTCACTTTCTTCGCCATTTCTGCCGCCGAATCAACCGCTTCGCTGCCTCAAGCTGCTCCTAAATCCTTGACCATCGCCTATATTCAGGTTTCGATTTTCATTTTCCCTCTCTTGTTTCTTCTATTTCTGCTCTCGTTCCTAGGTCGATTTGCTTGTATGAGTTTCTCTGAGGCTGGAACTGACCGTATTGCTTTCTTCTTCCTCTTCTTTGGTATTTTCGCGTGCAGCAAGAGGGAGATTGCAATTACAGGGTTAATATAACAACAAGCTGCTCATCCCCTTTCTACAATAGTGCTGAAATTGGAGTTCTGTTTGGGGACGCTCATGGAAATCAGGTTTGTTCTTCGGAGATTTTATTTTGAATTTCTTTTGCAGTTTCTGGAATAGGAAATCCCAATCGTTCATTTCGGTTGATTCTTATTTCATCTGTGGAAGGTTATAGACTGTAGATAAGACAATTAGAAACATCTGAATTAGTAATTAAGCATCTGAGTCCTATTGCTGAAGTTTCATCGAACATGGATATTTTTCTGGTTCTGCTTTTTGTTATCTCATGGTCAAGTTTTATAAATTCGAGTTTTGGATTGCAAGAAAAGAACAAAAGAAAAGCCGTAGAACATGTCGAATTTCCCCTTTCCCTTTTAAAGTGGTATGTTTTAGTCGTCAAATTTTACCTAAAAAATTATTTCGGTCATTATCGTTATTTTTTCATAAATCAAAATGCATTTAGAAATTCTAAATCTAATCTATTACTTGAGGTTTTAAATAGTTGTTCATGTATATATTTGTTGATTACAAAAATGAACATAATATATGTATATCTTATATTTTCATCACTTTTTAAAGTTAGGGAATGCTTTTAAAGATTCGAAATCAAACTAAAATTTTAACGTAGAATTGTCTTCAAAACCTAGAAGAAAAAGAAAATATTAAATTACAATTTTAGACTTGGTAATTCCTTCCTCGAATTTTAAAAAGTATTTAGTAGGTCTTTAATCTTTCTACGTATTAACTAATAAATCTACAAATTAAAAAAATATCCAATATTTCTATAAAATTTCAAGCTCGTTTTTTAAAATTTAAGAATTTATTAGACACAATATTGTAAGTTTAAAAATTTATCGGATACTTTGTAGTTTGAGACCTATTAAACATGTTTTTAAAGAAAGCCACCGAGTCCGACCAACCTTTACGAAGATTATTTTTTCTTTTTAAATTATGGTTAAATGGTTGATTGATTTAGCAATTGAAACCAGATCTACGAGCCAAAGCTGGAAGTTGAAAGCAAGAATGCATTTGGAAAATGCAGCAAAGACATTTTTGAAGTGGTAGGGCCATGCGTGGACCAAATATGTTTTTTCTATCTTTACAAAAATGGCTCAGACGACTGGATACCAGAGACTGTACAAATCTCAGGCTCTGATATCAACACTGTTGAATACAAATACAACTCCTCAATCCCACGTGAAACATGGTATGGCTTCGACGACTGCGATTACTTTCCACCGCCGTCGCCGCCGCCGCCTCCTCCCCCACCGGCCCCCTCCGCGGCCGGCCCTCGTCTGCCGGCCACGTGGAGATGGCTTGCTTATGCAATTCTGTGCTTCTCCGCAGCGCTGTGATGTCCGCCGTGGTGTGGTGGGTTAGATATATTTTTATTTTTGATCCACCGTATTAGCAGTGGTTTTGATTGGTCTATCTAAAAATATTAAATCAAATCTGATGTTAGAATTGGATTTGATGGAGTTGTTATGACACAGTTGAATAACTGATCACCAATATCTGCTATGTATGTTATTACTTTTCTTTTTCCAAATTTTTAGAGTTGAATTTCAAATTAATTGAACTTTATCAAATCAATATGCTGCTTGGTGCTTGCATATTCAAAGAGTGTAATTTGAGGGGAAAAGACAAAACAAGAAAAAACAAAAACAAAAGCTCCAAATTTCAAAGATGGACCCAGTAAGCAAATACGTAACTTGATCATCTTTTTCTTTAATTTGACTTCTAGTTTAAATTTATTTTGTTTATTACGATTGGTTTTTTTCTTTTTCAATTTGGTAGGCATTCAATTCAATTAAAGAAAAATTATATAATTTATTTTTTGTTAAATTACAAGGTTAGTGTTTAAACTTTTCTATAGGGTGATTAATAAGCAGTTAAACTTTAAAAAGGGTCCAAAACTAAACCATGAAGTTGCGCCATTTATGTGTTATAAAACCATCTTCCCTACCATTCTTTGCAATTTATTTATTTTTTAATATCCGTGAGTATTTAGATCAGTTTATGTATATCTCGACTAATAATCTTTCAAAAAAGAAAAAACCTTTTTAGTTCAACTAGAAGCTAAAACCGACCTTGGAAGCCACGTATAATCCTTTTTTTTTTTCATTACGAAACATTAACTATTATATAAAACGAAAATTTAGAATTTATTTATATTTATTTACACAACTCTGGAATTTTTTTCTCTATCATTTTTCTTTATTGACACTGACTGTCTGACACCGACCCTTCCAAGTTCCACGTGGACTAACGAGAGATTTTCAGAAAAAGAAAAAGAAAAAAAAAGGACGAACGATGGAGAGGGAGAGAGTTTTGATTCTTTGAATACAAGTGTGGCCTTCCACAAACCGCCTCGCGTACGATTTCTCTGCCTCTGTAATCTTCCGCGTGTTCGTCTTCTCCAGGAACTCCTCAGCGCCAAAGAAGCAGACGGAAGAAGAAATGAAGAGACTACTCTGTTTTCTGCTCAGCTCCGTCTTCCTTTTCGCTCTTTCAGAGGCCACCCAATTGCTGCCTCAACCCGCTGAATCCTTCAATTTCAATTTAACATATATTCAGGTCTATATTTATCGGTTATTCCTTTTACATTTTGCACTCATTTTGATTCTTTTTGGCCTATATCTGACAACGATTTTATGTTTTGCTTTTGCGCCTTTGCTGTGGAATTTTCGGTGTAAAGCAAGCCGGGAGTTGCTCTTACTCGGTTGTTATATCGACGAGCTGTTCGTCACCTTCTTACACTAGGGATCACATCAGTCTTTCTTTCGGCGATGCTTATGGCAACCAGGTTTGCTTTCTTTAAATTTTAATTTTCCCATTGATTTTCTCGGAATAGAACGCCCTAATTTTCAGACATTCGAAATGGTTAACGAAAGAAATCATAGATGAAATTTGCATCGGAGTTTCGTAATATCCGTTTTTCTTGCAATGTAAAAGCATATTAGTTGCTCTAGGTTAAAGTAACTGATTGGTATTATCCTTTATCTTTCTGGTACCAAATGGAATAGAAATCAAATCAGGGGTTTATTTCTCGATTATGATGGGATGGTAGCTTGTTGATTTATATGTTTCAGAACTTAAAAAATCAGGTTTGTATTTAGTCTTATATTAATATCTTTGAAAAATCCAGTCATTAGACCAAGTTGAGCAACATCATATAGCCCTGAGACGTCCAAAACTTCCTAAAACATTTGGAAAGTTTCAAAACATCATTTGTTCTAATGTTATAACATACTGTTCTTTCTAGGAATTTGAAAGAACACCGTGTTTATAATTCAGAAACCATGTAAACTCTCTTTTTTCTCACATAAATTTGGGAATTTCATATGTAACAATTAAACATTGAAGAAGCCTGCTTTGTATGATGAGTCGTGATTCGTGAAATTCGACTTGTGTGCCAGATTTATGTGCCAAGGATTGATGATCCATCCAGAAGAACATTTGAAAGATGTTCAACCGATACATTTCACATAAATGGACCTTGTGCTTACCAAATATGCTACGTCTATCTTTATCGCTCTGGACCAGATGCCTGGATCCCAACAACAGTGAAAATCTCTGGTGATAATTCTAGACCCATCACATTTAACTACAACACTGCCATACCAAATGACGTATGGTTTGGGTTTAACTTGTGTGGACATGCTTCGTCTTCAAACCGTTTATCAAGTTGTATGTGGTTCATATACGTCATTGGAGTGTGGATTCTCGCTCTTCTCTTGTAAGTTTATGTTATATTAGGACGCATTTCATATTCTATACTTGATAAGAATGCATTTTGATGTAGCCCTTTTAGCATATAGAACATGGATATAACTGACTAGAAAGCAGCATTAGGAGTGTTCTTCTGTTGTGATGTTGTTTTAAGGCAGAGGCACTTCTTGGTGACTGAGAATCTTGTCTCCGGATAAGCTTTTGGATATCTGGAACTAGGGAACAGAAACATTTTCTGGTTTTGTTTCTAGATACTGTCGGCCTTTGATTCATGTGGGATTCTTGTTTAGTTGGCTTTTTTCCTAAAGAACGTTGTTATATGAACTATATTTAAGATGGGTTATTGCTCCATTCGAATCTGTTTTGTGGTTGGGGAATGACTGGCTGGGACTTTGGGTCAATGGTTATCCTTAGAATGACGTATATAAAAGTTATATCCTGATTTTTTCCCCTCTGAGTTCAACGCAATTTTGAGGGTAGAGATTGGATAATTGACCTTTTGAATGGTAACCTTATCCATTAAACTGACGAACTATATTCAGAACTATATTCAGATTGGTGGTTGCATATTGATTGGAATTTTTTGATTCCCCATCTCAATAAATTTGAGTTTTGTGAGGTTTAGACTTGGAAATATGAGTTTAATATATATTTTGATTATGCAAAATGAGTTATATAAATCTAGTTGATTGAGTCTAGTGGTTATCCTTAGTCAAGTCACATACATTGTCTTCATAAAAATAATATGAGAAATAGTTATACTATCACTGTGAGAATAGCTCAAATTACCTTGTTTGAGTTCGAAAGTTTAATCTCAAATCCCAAATCCCACCTTTGTTGAACAAAAGGAAGAAATAAAAAAAACCACTTTTTATTTTCTGTTGTAGTAATTTGAACTTCTTACCTCAAGTCTGTAAATAAATGCTTCGACCAATTCAACTATACTTGTGTTAGCATTGATAATGCACTCAACTAAACTTAATTTCTTAGATTTCAAATACCAATAATTACTCTTTAGTCTTAATTTTAATTTTAACCTAGTAGAATGAATACTAAAAAGAACTTTCTCTCAAAAAAAAAAAAAAGAAAAAAACTAAAAAGAACTTACCTAAACTTAATTAGGTGTGTATTCAATCTCCGAAGTCTAGTTTTGCTCATTTATTTTTAATCCGTCTGACCACCTATTTTGCTTGGAGATCATGTCCATGTATTTAATCATCAATTATATGAGTGTGTGAAACATTTTAGAACGCATAAGATTTTTTTTTTAGTTGACCTGTTGATCATTTTTTTCATCTTACAGATTTTAGAGAGATATTTTCAATTTTGTAATTTTAATGGCAAGTGTTAAAGGGTAAAAGGGGCCACTTCGACCAGTGAAAGGAGAAGAGCTATTGGGCAAAATGCCCTTATAGAGATGGGTGTTTGATTAAAAGCCCAAAAATAAAATTTTGGGGCAAAAATACAAAATGCCCCGTTAATTTTGGATGATCGATCTCTATCATATTGATTTTCTTAGATGATCGATCACTTTGACTTGTTGATTTTCATTGGCCTCAGTCCTATTGATCTTTGAATTATCGACATCGACACCTAACTTGTTCGTCTTCTTATTGACTTCTGGCTTGATCTTCCAATTTGATAATAGGAGATTTTAAGAGGCAAAAGTTTTATTTTTCATTTCTAAAAAAACTGCTGAATGCTGATACAGTATTTAATTAGAAAAAATATAAATAAATTTATTGAGGGAGGGGTATGATTGTCATGAAGACAAGACATTTTGCCTTATATTTTATTTTGGGTATTTGGACAAATATGAACCAAAATTGTATGAACAGTGCGCAGCAGCCCAATTACCCAAAAGAGATTGAAGAAACGAAAGAAATGAAGACTCGGGTAGAACTAGAAGCTTAGAAGATTCTCGACCTGAAGGCTGAATCTGATCCATTTCGAAGGCAAAATATTAAGATGATGCGTTCATCCATGCCCCAGCGGCGCCAAATCGTCGAAGTATCGGCTCGCCACCGTCGGGATGACCATGCAACCAAAAACTTCCACATTAATCCGGATTCCGATTTATCATCGTTCGATCCCTCTTTTTCTGTTTCTTCTTCCACTTCTCTTCCTCGCTTTTGATCCTACTTTCCCCTCGTCGGGAAGATTCTCAACAGATGAATTCGGATACTCTTTTTTGAGAGACTTATTTTCTTCTAATTGAATCTGATCTATTGGATTTCACATGTGTTTTTATTAATCTAGAGATATGAGTTGCTACAGAAGATCCAAGTTTTCATTTGATGCATTTCGGAACCTGTCCTCAAAGATTTTTCCCAAGGATATAATTCGAGATCATCCTAGGTCAAGAATTTCCCAAAAGGGCTCTTCGTTTACGGCTGGGAAACAGTCTAATTCTTATGGTTTCCAACCGGCTTCTCCAATAATACGAAGATTTGGTCAGCAAGTTGGAGAGAATAGGAGGCTATACAATCCCTTCTTGGGTGATTCCAAGAGATTTTACTATGTTGATCGCTACCGCGTCCAGCATTTTAAGCCCAGAGGACCTCGGCGATGGTTTCAAGATCCAAAAACTGTAATGATAGTCGTGTTTGTGGGTTCTGGAGTATTTGTCACTGTGTATTATGGGAATTTAGAAACCATACCTTATACAAAACGAAGGCATTTTGTGATCTTGTCCAGAGCTATGGAGAGGAGGCTGGGAGAGTCGCAATTTGAGCAGATGAAGGCAGCTTTTAAGGGTAAAATATTGCCGGCCGTACACCCAGAAAGTGTGAGGGTAAGATTGATAGCTAAGGATATAATTGAGGCATTACAAAGAGGGTTGAAGCAAGAGAATGTGTGGAGTGATTTGGGCTATGCATCAGAGGCTGTGATAGGAGCACCTGAAGGCAGTGGCCATGAGACATTGATGGCGCTTAGCGATGCCGGGGCCGAGAGGGTGGAAAGTAAATGGTCCCGCGAAGATGAGATTCTTGATGACAAATGGGTTGAACGCAGTAGAAAGAAGGGTCAGGAACAGGGGTCCCAAGCAGATACCTCGCATTTGGAAGGATTGAATTGGGAAGTCTTGGTGGTCAATGAACCGGTTGTTAATGCATTCTGCTTGCCCGGTGGGAAGATCGTTGTCTTCACTGGCTTGCTCGAGCACTTTAGAAGTGATGCAGAAATTGCAACTATTATTGGTCATGAGGTATGTTATGCCATATCATAGTATCAAGTTCTTTATTGGAGATGATCTATAAGACTAGATGTTATTAGAGTTAAGAGGAGTATTGTGTTATGTAGCTATTGTGAGTTTGAATTTCAATATTTTTTCTCTTGATTCTTTCATCAATATCAACATTTTTTGTTCTTGAACTTGCAAATGTACACTTATCTCACTGCCTATTTAGTCATGCCATAATCTTTAAGAATCTTGGGTGGATCATGTTTTCATCAATTAGGTTGGGCATGCTGTGGCTCGACATGCTGCAGAGGGTATCACAAAGAACCTGGGGTTTGCCATTTTACAAATTATCCTTTATCAGTTCGTCATGCCTGATATTGTCAACACTATGTCAGCTCTTTTCTTGAGGCTTCCATTCTCTAGACGGTAAGTTCAGCATACTTTTCTTTAATCTTTCTTGGTTATATTGATTTAGTTATAGTTCGTGGTTAGATTTTTTTTGTTTTGCATTACTTCAATATATGTGTGTGAGTACATAAACATGTTATTTTGCCGTCATCATGCTATCTGTTATTTGTTCAATGAATTACTTAGCTGCTCTGCATCAAAAGATTTGGTTGTAGACGAATAAATATTCATTTGATGAACAAAGACTAGAAGTATCTTAGCGCCGAAGAGCTTTTCTTTCATTTAGTGCATCTAATTACCTACCTTTGAATCATCACGAGATGAATACGAAGGCCTAAGGCCTAGTACATTGCTCATTTTGGTTTTGTTTTATATGATTTGTCAAGCATTCCACAAAAAAGTCTCTAGTTCGAGCATCTGAAAATACTTGAAGGGTGATTAAACTGAGGTGGATTTGGGATTAGTTTACAGCCTGTTATTTCTGCCTCCAGGATGCAACCATTATAGAGTGATCTATATCATTATTATAAAAACAGTTTCACCGAAGAACTCTGTCCATCTACCAACGGGTTGGGTTCAAATTCTGATACCGAAATTTTTATGCCCTCAGGATGGAAATGGAAGCGGATTACATTGGTCTGCTTTTGATAGCCTCCGCTGGATATGACCCTAGGGTTGCACCCACAGTATACGAGATGTTGGGTAAGGTAACCGGTGACTCGGCTCTGAGAGATTATCTTTCTACTCATCCATCTGGAAAGAAGAGAGCTCAGTTGCTAGCTCAAGCCAAGGTTATGGAGGAAGCACTTAGCGTTTACAGAGAAGTAAGAGCCGGTGGTGGGGTTGAAGGCTTCCTATAGGACTCCCAAAACTGCCCTAGAAATTCAAAACAAGTTGATGCTGAGTGGAAGTAGATAGACTTTCCTCCTGTATATTGTGCTATTAATTGTTTAAGCATGATATTAGATTTATAATTTTTTTTTTTTATTTCAGCCATATGATCAAATGTTTCAGTGATATCTGGGAGTTGATTTACTTGCTTTAGACTTTTCTCCTGAAAACCCCTTTACCCTTCCACCAGGTTGAATTAGCGATATCCATAGAAACTTGTTATTTTAAAAGAATGAAACTACAATAACACTCACGGTGAATTTGGGATAGCTTTTGAGAAAAATGCTTTCCAGTGAGGATCCTGCACGAGTTCTTCTCTAAGCAGTTTATGGTGCTTTTTAAGTTATTAGGATTTTCAAAATCATTTTTTTATCTAATGCTTTTAATTTGTTAAAAGAACTATTTGCCCTTTGAAAAGGTTGGTGTTTGTCACAAACTTAGAACCACAAAATTTTCGTACCAATATGGTTAATCTAACAAGAAGGAAGTAAATGTTGACGCGTTGGATCTGTTCATACCTTTCCCCAGTTGTGTATTTCAGCATGGTTCAGTTCCATCTATGCAACTTTCCAACCCAATGACACAAAATGTTTAGTAGTTGATTTTGCCAAAAAAAATAAAAGGTAATTGTCATCCATCCGTGGGATTAATGGTGAGAGAGTGATTTAAGGAGGGTTAGGGATTAACATTGATGGAAACAAGTAATGGTTGAGGACTAGGGGATACATCGATGGATACCGTGAACGATGTAATAACATAGTGGAAAGAAGAAGAATAGATAGATTGTGAACAATCTTTTGTGATGAATATTTTGTCTTTCCCTATGATGCTGCAAGAATGATAGTCTAGTTGGAAGAAAGAACAATTCAACTTTATTTTAGATATGCTAAAGGAGACATTTAATGAGCTTTTTATGATATGGTTCAGTTTTATAGCCACTGAATAGACGAAATTCTTTCGAGGTTGAGATTGGAAGGCCAACTATAACCGAGTTTCTAAGACCATCAGAAAAGTTGAGTTTGGATCGTTAGGTCTCATTCTTATATCATCAGTTTCATTTCTCAACCACCAATCTCACGTCCAATACAAAAATCATATTTTTCAAAATTTAATGCTAGTCTTTTAGCACGTCATGCACCTGATATATATTTTAATGTAAAACAAAATGTATAAATTTAAAGTGTGCATAGAGATTCAAAATATAGAAATAATATTTTTTGAAAAAAAAAAAATATATATATATATATATATATTAAATTTCACTTTATTAATTTATTTTATTATCAACCCAATTCAATTTATTAAAAGCTACATATCAGTAAATGATGAATGGTGTGAGGACAATACTAATAATTGGTAAATAATGAAATTATGTAATTTTATAATTTAAATTTGACAATATTTAATGACATTGAATACTTTAAAAGTAGTATTTATCTTGATAAATTAAAAAACAATAAATTGACATATTTTTAATGTATTATGTTATTGTTATTAACAAGTAATTTATTTTAAAAAAATATACCATTTTTTTTAAAGTTTCATAAGTTAATGTAGGAACTTAAATTAATTTTAATATATATTACAATACTAGGATATACAGAAAAAAAATTGCCACATCATTTTTTTAAAAATAAAATCTGCCACAACTAATAGCCGAAGAACTAAAATAAAGTATCTTTTGAATTTCAGGGACAGGGACAGAATATATCTATTATCCAAACCTTAGGTACGAAGGAAAGTAATTTAGCCTAAAATAAAGGTAGGATTGTTGGTAGTGGAGAAATATGTCGATTACCGCTGAACTATGTTCGTTTTGATAGTACCAAATTTATTACTTGTTTTATTAGTGATAATATGAATTTGAGTAGAGAAAGGAGAGGTGAGCAAAAAGAATTGAAAAAATTGAGTCAAATAATGGAAACTTACCAAACTAAAGTCGGTCGATTGATTCGATAAAAATCACGATCGGACCAATCGGTGAGTTGGTTCATATGAACCATCAAGAACTGACTTAACCAACCAATCGACTCTGGTTAATAAAAAAAATATATGTAAATTTTTCTCGCACGCGTGTTTATCTCGTACTAAGTGTTAAGGTGTTTCATTTTCCAAAACTTCACACTTCAATTGCCCCATAACCACCCACTGCCATTCTCGAGTTCTTTTCATTCTTCTTCAATTTTAAATTATTTTACTTCTTCTTCGTTGATAACTACCATTAGTTTATAAATATATGAGCAACTTTTGAAGTTGGGATTCAATTTCCAAATCGCCTACCAAACCTATAAAAAAATATTGAAAATATAAAATATAATTTTGTTTTTCATATCACCTCCATTGAAATAAAGAGAGAAGTCAAACAGCTCATTAAATATCGTCCATTATTTCAGGTCGGGAAAAGACATTATCAATAACTTCGTTTCCGATTGGTCTATTTGAAACATGAAAAGAATTCATTGATGATTTTCTCTTTTGGTGGGAAAATTAAAGTTCTCATCACTTCCCAACCATCTCTTCAACGATCAAGGCAATATAAATAATTGTTTTTCTCAACTTGTTAAGAATTTTTTAATTCTGGCGTTCCTATCTCTTTTTATATTTATAAACCTCACATCATATTCTTAAATGATAATCATCTGACTAACAATAAATTAGAGTCAAGTATCTTACACTAACTCAAAACTTGACAATTGTCCTGTCATATAGGATTTCAATTATGTCGCTTATAACTATGTTTAATGATATAATCTAAAGTTAAAGAAAACAAAGTGAAAATCTAATTGGATCTCCAACTCAATGCACTATAGAATAAACTTGGATTAAGTGATGGTTTATACTCGAATCAATTATTAGGGCATATTTCTTGATGTTGATGCCAACACCGTCATTAATTGTCTTTATTAATTGAATGATGTGTATTAAGTTTTTCAAAAACTTTCATGGCTTTGTTTTATATTTCATCCAAAATATCTCACCCCAACTATTATTCTAACACCTAAAAAAATTCCACCCTCAAATAAAAGACTATCGAACCTCCTCTCAAATAGTCATTCATATATTATACTCTCAATAATATTGTCAAGAGCTTGCTCTTATCCAAAGTCAATTACTCTTCTATAGAGCAAGCACACATTACTTGTCTGAGAAAGCTAAGTTACGAATCACATTGTGGTTATTTAGTATTAGAATGTCTATCATACCTTAACCATCCTCCCCTCTCTAGTTGAACCACTTTTGTTTCATATTTAAGAATATTTGAGGCTCACTACTTTTGTTCGGCACCAAAGGTCCATTAATACGACAAAGTTTTTAGCATGATGTTTGATATCACTTTGTGAGGGCCAAAAACCTCTTCATATTTCTTTAAAGATATGTTCATGACTTTGATTTTGATTTCATCCATAAAATCTCATAGTATTTGTCTTTATTTATATAGACTTCCCTTTCTGATACCTGGTTAAGATCACCACTCAACCTAAAATATTAAGCTGATAGATTGGAGATAAAAAAACAAAATACGAAGAACACAAAAGAGAGAAAAAGGAGGGAGATGTGACTTAATCTGAGATGGAAGAAGAGAAAATATAGGAGATATAAGTAATTAAAAAGAAAACATTTATCTGGACCACGGTATTCGAGGAGCTTTCTTCGAAGTTTTCTCCATTTCTAATCTAATATTGGAACAGGGTTGGCATCCCCAATGGTCAAACAACATTAAGTGGCAGGCTGTAGGCGAGGGGAGAGCAGCATTCAATAAGGTAAAGAGTAGAGGGAGAGAGAGAGAGTTAAGAGTGGGTGGGTGGGTGGATGGGTGGATGGGGTGTTGGGGAACCAAACAAAAGGTGGGGCAACCAAAAGTCACTTCCTCACCATCTCCTGATTCAACTATGTTTTTCAAGATCACAATTATCTCTCTTTTTTTTTTCCTTTTTACCTACTGTATTTCTATTTAGTACTGTAATTTCTTTCCTATATATACTGCTTTAAGAGCTCAGTACAGAATGTGGAAAACATTACAATACAACTCTGTGTGTGTGTGGTGCTGCCTTTTTTCACTAAAATTCAAAAGCCATACCTGCACCGCCATTAAGATTCCCATTTCTCCATATCGCCACCTCAACCTTTCCTCCATAACCAATGGATTATGCTCCCAAGGTCAGCCATGGCGGCACTGTCCTCCATTCCACTCAATTATTCACACACCTTCGCTTGACTTTCTTCCAACTTCTAAACTTTCTCGTTCTCATTCTCGTGAGTTCCATTGAAATTTATATTTTCTTAAAAGGATGGAACCCCATTTTCCACATCTTCCTACTCCTGTCTTGTTATGTCGTCTTCATTATCATAAAGCCTTCCATTCTGAATGCTCCTCGTTCAGTTTATTTAGTTGACTTCTCATGCCTTAAACCCCCAAGCTTCTGCAGAATTCCCTTCTCTTTTTTCCTAGAAAATGCGACTTTGATTGATACTTTTGATAGCGATAGCATCAGTTTCATGGCCAAAACTCTCAAATCTTCTGGACAAAGTGAAGAAACATGTCTCCCTCCAGCTTTACACTTCATTCCACCCAAGACCCATCAACAGGAATCCATCAATGAAGTCCATATGGTGCTGTTTCCTGTCATGGAAGATCTTTTAACCAAAACCCATCTCTCTCCTCGTGACATTGACATTCTGATCGTTAATTGCAGTGGCTTTTGTCCTTCTCCTTCCCTCTCCTCCATAGTTATCAATCGATTCTCCATGAGAAGTGACATTAAGAGCTATAATCTCTCTGGAATGGGGTGCAGTGCAAGTGCTGTTGCCATTCAATTAGCTGAAAATCTTCTTCAGGTCCACGAGAACTCTTATGCCATTGTGCTTAGTACAGAAATTTTGTCGAACGGTTGGTATGCAGGAAAAGAACACTCTAAACTACTCCTGAACTGTTTCTTCCGTATGGGAAGTGCAGCTATTCTACTCACAAACAGAAAAGAAGCGAAAGATTCTTCAAAATATAAACTACTTAAAACGCTTCGAAATCAGACATCATTCGACGACAAAAGTTACCTTTCAGCCATTCGCGAGGAGGACGCGGACGGAAAACTCGGAGTCTCTGTGACACGAGATACGCTTCAGGTTTTCCCCGAAACTCTCCGAACAAACATAACCATTATGGGTTCTTCGATCTTGCCGCTGTCGGAGAAACTCCGTCACGGCGTTTCCAGGCTGCGAAAGCGATACGTGGACAAATCGCAAGAAATTTACGTGCCGAATTTCAAGAGCGTGATTCGGCATTTTTGCTTGCCGGTATCGGGGGGTCCGGTGATAAGGGCGATCGGAAAAGTGCTGAAGCTTAAGGAGAAGGATTTGGAGGCGGGATTGATGACTCTCCATAGATTTGGGAACCAGTCGTCTTCTGCGCTGTGGTATGAACTTGCGTATTTGGAAGCTAAAGAGAGAGTCGAAAAAGGAGACACGGTTTGGCAAATAGGGATGGGCACTGGGCCCAAATGTGTTAGTTTGATTTGGGAGTGTGTGCGGCCCATTATTGGAGAGTCCAAGAACGATCCATGGGCCCAAGCAATCGATCGGTATCCCATTTAGGCCCATTAACCTAGAAGATCTTGATCTTTCAATGGATGTAGTGTAGACCCAACTAATAAAATTGGTTTTTTCCTTGCTTCCTGTTTCAATATGAAAATTCGTTGATATTTATGATTATTTTATAGTAATATATTATGGAATTATAGATGTTGATGCATGGATTTTGACCCTCCAGCTCTTCTTCTCGCACACACCTAACTCGATGATAAGGGAATCGATACGTGCAAAATCAAACCGATCTAAATCGGTGTGACCTTAGTCACACGGACTCCGATGCTTAAATTAGCGAGGGAGAGTTGAGAAAATAGTTAGCTAGGGATGAGTCCCTTACCCTTCACGGGTGGATCTCACTGCTACTTATAGCCGTGAAGATGATTCCAGAACCTTCGTAGCCAAACCCTAATTCGGCTCTGCAGGGCCCGAGGGATCGTAGATCGTAGGCGGGAGATTCATGGGCTGGGCCGTGGGCCGAGCAGGGGTCGGNGAGGGATCGTAGATCGTAGGCGGGAGATTCATGGGCTGGGCCGTGGGCCGAGCAGGGGTCGGGACCGAGAAGTGGTCGGGACCGAGCCCTCTCGGCCTGGTTAGTTTTTCGCCAGTCGCTTTCCTCGTTCTCTGCCCCGGCGTTAGGTCGTTCTTTGGGCCGGCTCATTACGTCACGGGTCGGTCTCCCCCAATCAATGATCTCAGGCTTCAACTCCTTGTCCCGTTTCGGGTCGTTTTTGTTCTCCATAACAATGACCCCCACTCTCAAAACAGAAGACGAATAATTGTGTAAAGATCTTTGTTTTGAGATTACTTGTCGCTTGTCGTTACCACGAGATCATTATATATTAGTGGCTAAAACTGTGAAGGTTGCTAACGCACAGGGTTTCTACCAAAAGCTTTTGATCCAATTTTGGATTTTAGTGCTTGGTTCCTGCCACTAGTTTTGTGTCTTGAACTTGTCGATATTATTCATGAATTGGAAGTTTTTTCCAATTTTCGTTGACCACAATCAAGTCTCCTGAGCCTGGTTTTATTCTCATCTGAGTTTAAACCATTTACCTTTCGCCTTGGGATCTAACTTTAACAGAACTAATGTCGATACCTTTGGGTTTCTAACCTATTTGGCTTTTGCCCATGTTTTATACCTCAAGGTTTACTCTCGGGTTTCTAACCCACTTGGCTTTTGCCAATGGCTTTTATACCCTGAGTTTAGTCGGCACCCTTAGGTTTCTAACATATTTGGCTTCTGCCAGCTTTTTACCCCAAGTTAAATCAACACCCTCGGGTTTTTAACCTATTTTGGCTTTTGCCATATGATTTTCTACCCGTGGGTTTCGTTGATCGGTTAGGCTTGCCTGTTTTCTGTTTTGACCTTGCTGGGCCTGTACGCATGCCTTTTTCAGCACCTCGGGATTCTTTTCCCTGGTTTCACTGATTGGCTTTTAGCTTATCGGCCTACTTCTAGGTCCGTCCCAATTTTGAGTTTCTTGATTGGTCATAGATATGTAGATATTCAGGTCGTAGAAATGTAGATATTCATATGATGTCCCCTGCTTGAGAAATTTATTTCAGAATGAACATAAAAACTCAAGTATCGCGTTAAATGTCGAAGACTTTATTAGTAGGAAGATTGTCCTGTCGAAGATTTAGTTACAATAACCTTCGAGTTGTAGTATCGAGCTATTCGATTTTTGTATTCAGCCGTTCGTAGCCGTGCTGTTTCTCGATGTTCTTTTAATAGGTCGAGGTTGAGCTGTACGGATTCGTTGTTGTCAAGTAGATTGAACTGCTCTACACTTGGGGAGGGGAGTCCAATTTCGACTGGCACTACAGATTCAGAGCCAAATGATAGTGAAAATGGCGTTTCTCCTGTCGGAGTACAAGGTGTTGTTCTGTAGACCCATAATGCGTTGGAAAGTTCCTCTGCCCACAACCCTTGGAGCTTTTCTAATTTGGTCTTCAGAGTTCTTTTGATGATTTTGTTGACTGCTTCAACCTGCCCATTAGCCTGCGGATGTGCTGGCGAGGAACAAATGTGCTTAATGTCTAACTCTCTGCAAAATTCTCGAAAGGCAGCATTGTCGAACTGCTTCTCATTATCACTGATAATGGTGTAGGGTATTCCGAAGCGACAAATTATGTTCTTCCAAATGAAGTCGGTGACCTTTTTCTCAGCAATTGTCGCTAGGGCTTTGGCTTCGGCCCATTTAGTAAAATAGTCGACTTCAACTACTGCAAATTTGGTCTGACCCTTTTTCGAGTGGGAGAGGCCCATAAGGTCTATTCCCCACTGAGCAAAGGGCCAAGGACTCATTATGCTTGTTTAGTGGCTATGGCGGTTGTCTAGGTACTGTTGCAAACTGTTGGCATTTGTCGCATTTTTTGGTGAATCGCTTCGTGTCGTTCAGCATGGTCGGTCAGTAGTACCCTAGTCAAACTATTTTGTGACTTAGGGATCATGCTCCAGAATGGCTCCCACAAACACCCTCATGTATCTCTTTCATGACGTAGTGAGCTTCGTCGGGCGTTAGACATTTTAAAAGCGGCAACGAGTAACCTCTTTTGTACAGATTGTCGTCTTTAAGCACATATCTGGCTGCTCGTCGTTGTAGCTGCTGGGCCTCTATCTTTTCAGTAGGCAGGATCCCGTCTTTCAAATATTTGATCAAAGGGCTCTTCCAATTTTCTTCTGGTTGCCCTTGCTCGTCGATATCCATTGCTTCCTGAGCTTCTATGCTTGGCTCGGGTAGAATCTCGACCAGTACAGTTCTGCCTAAGTCGGTTTCATAAGCTGCAGCTAGTCGAGCTAACGCATCGGCGTTGACGTTTTGAGCACGTGGAATTTGTCGAATCTCATATTTTGAGAATTGGTATAGCTGGTTTTTTACCTGTGAAAGGTATTTCGCCATTCGCGGTTCTCTAGCCTGAACTTCTCTTTCACTTGACCTACAACCAGCTGTGAATCACTTAGTATCAGTATGTTCCTGACCCCAACGTACCTGGCCACTTTTAATCCTACTAGTAGAGCTTCATATTCAGCTTCGTTGATGGAGTTGACTTTGTTGCTTTTATTTTCATAGGTTTCTAACCCTTTGGCCATAGCCACTAGTTTTATACCCGTTGTCATTTTTACTCCATCTCATGTTTTAACTGTGCTAGGACAATCGACCCGCTTCTGGTTTGGCCGTGTTGAGATTGTTTAATTGTTCTTGCCAAATTTGTCGATTAATGTAGATTCTGCTTTCAAAATCTGTCGATTAATGTAGATTTGTGCCTCATTGCACCTGGTCGACGCCGAGCAGTGGTCGGATCCGAGCAGAGATGTGCTAGGCTAGGTCGGACCCGAGCCCTGCTCGGCCTGCTCGGCTTGGGCTGGTTCTACCAAGCTTGCGTCGTTGAGTCGGTCATGACCTATTGCCCCCTACTCTCAAGGTAGTGTATTGTCGATATCCTTTGAGAGTATGTTTATAGACGAGGCAAGGTGTTTTATCAAAGTCGCTTGGCATCCAGTTTTGGATTTAGAAAACAGAGTTGGTAGGGAACCAAGTTAATGGATATTGAAGGGAGTTCATGAAACTCAATCTTTCATGTCCTACAGTGGCATCAACCAGTTGATATATTCGAGGCAAAGGAAAAAAATCCTTTGGACAGGCCTTATTCAGGTCCGTGAAGTCGATGCACATTCTCCATTTGCCGTTTGGTTTCTTTACCAGCACTACGTTGGATATCCACTAGGGATAATGTACTTCCCGAATGAAGCCTGCTTTCAGTAGCTCTTCCACCTGTTCAGCTACAATCTCGTTCCTTTCTTGGTTGAACGCGCGACGCTTCTGTTTCACTGGCTTACAGCTCTCGTCGACATTGAGTCGACATTGACTCCTCGCTCGATTCCCGG